CTGATAGACGGGTCAAAAAAACCCCATCCCCTTGAATGACTCCCCTTCTTCTTCAGTTCTCCGACAAGCTCTGAAGTCAACCAAGCCAAATCACTGCGTTCACCTGGCGCACGTTTCCCGTTCGCTGAGCACCCACCACTTCGTCTTGCCCTCTGGCCCCGATCATCTCGTGCAATATCCCTCAACTGCACCCCCCAGCGTAACTGCGCCGAGCACACCGTGCACACCTTGCTCACACCGAGTCCCCCCCTTTTTTTTTGCATATCTGCCCCGACTATATCCCTTGGGCCCTCAGCTGTTTTCAGCTTCAGCCCTACCAGGCCCGATCCTGAGCAGTCACTGTACTAGTTTGGTCGATCCATCCTGGGCCCAACGATATCAATTTGGGCGAACAGGGCCCCCGCTAGCAAGGAAAATTAACATTACGGAGGCCTAGAAAGAAAATCGGTACCATGAAACACGTTTCGCACCAGGGACCAAGTTCACAGGCTCAATTGTTGTAACCCCAAACAGTGAGTGTAACGTTACCGTACCAGATCCTTTATACGAGTTTGTGGCCAGGCTGGTCCCAAGCCACCGAGCCTGATTGTCGTGTGATGCCACACATACCTTGCCAGCCAACACAGCAATCGAACCACGTGGTCATACCGATCTTGTGACCGTACCGTACTGCCGAGTGAACAACGCATTGCCAAACCAAGACCGAACTTTACCAACGCCGCTCACCGCCGATAGAAGAATCACCGTAGTAGTACCGGCCCCCGGGTCTGAAAGTAGGTTCCAGCCAACAGTCCATGTCCATGTCGGATCAATGTCGAACCTGCAAATAATGCAGCGGCGCGTACCTCTCTGATGTCGAACCACTGCTGAGTCTGAAAAATATCGAACACCTCAAAATACCACAATAGCCCATCCCTGTTCCACACTGTAGCAGCTCCTACGGAATACCGCGGAATGTAGACATCGACCCTGAGTGTCGTGTCCTCACCGAATCATCACCGAACTTGAACCATACCGACCTCAAGGTAATACCTCGCCTGAAAACAAATCAGGTTCCGAACCTGATAAAATAAATGACCGTAGTGGTTCCGGACCTGGTAATAAATGTCGGTAATGTATCCGAACCTGAAGTACGCTGATGCTGAGCTCATGGCGAATCAGAACTATGTCTGGCACGGAGGTTAATACCACACTGTCGGTCCAAAGTAGCACCATCCCACGCCGTCCACTCGGACATCCTCGGATTACCCCGACTCAGTAAGGTTAGTAATCAGGTAAATCAGAAAAGTGACAGGGAAAATCTCGACCATCGGGGGATAATGAAAAAAGGTTTGATCCTAGAAAAAACGATCAATCCAGGAATAGAGCTAATGGTGGATAATCCAGGCAGAATCAGGCCAAACTTTTAATAATCCTCAGTTCTCGTCCCTTTCATCGCTTTTAGGATCCCTCCTTTTTCCTAATACTATTGTTTGAAATTGTAATATATCCATAAGTCCACAAAAAATACTCGCTGAGGGAGTTTTAATAAAATAGACGAAATTCCTTTGTTTCTTTTCCTTTTTTATCGTTTTTACTCTTTTCCTTTGTTTTCAATTCCATTGCCGGAAAACATAAAATAATAGGGTATTTTCCCCAAAACTCAAATGCTGCGAAAAACAAGGAAATTAAGGAATATTACGTTTTTCTCTTCCCTCCTACTGTTCTCAATCTCTTCTCCCATCTTTAGTTTAGATACCAAAAATGACAAAAATTCAAGGCGCTATTTTGACCCCGATCATACGCTGCAGAGAACGTCGCAGTGGGGTTAGTCCCCTCGATGCCCCCCCGCGGCAGGCCAATCCGGGTCTAACCCTCTGAACGGCTAGAAATGACGGTCCGTCGATGTGCCGAGTGCGACCACCCATCTCGCCATCTTTGAGGGTTACCTGTAAGGTTCAGTGCGCCCAAAATCAGGGGTACCCTGAGTTCCCCTAATCTATGCTGCCCGGTCAAACCAGAGTATCGTCTAAACACGGACTCGTCTTCGCACCTAAGTCCCAAAACCGTAGATTTCAGGCGGCGCACTGCTTGTGGCCGCCTGACACCGTCATGAACTTCATTGCTGCTGGGGAGAGCGGGGCAGTGATGCTGAAGGTAGTTGACATGTCGAAGAGGAAGAAGAATGCAGTTTCGCTGGCGAAGTTGTGGGAAGGGGTGATTCGAGAGATTGGGGTGCATAGAGTCAACGCTTTGTGTACGGACAATGCAGAGGTGAACAAGCATGCAGCTAGAATTTTGAGGAGGAGAACGGACGTGAATATTTCACGGATTCCTTGGGTGCTGTGTGCTGCTCATTGTTTGAACCTGCTCCTGAAGGGGATCTGTGAAGAGTCATGGGTGCGAGAACCGCACAAGAGGGGAAAGACAATCGTGAAGTGTATCAAAAATCACCACAAAACAACGCAGTTGTTCAAGGACTGTTCGAAGATGGAACGCAGCAGGACGCTTACCATGCCGACGGAAGTTCGTTTTGCTTCCGTCTACATGATGTTGGAGAGGCTGCTCGACCGCAAGAAGGTGTTGAAGGCGATGATGAAGGAAGGGTGGCTTGACATCAAATGGGCTGCCAGGAAGAAGTGTGAGATAGCTGAAACGGTGTATCTGACAGTCCGGTCAGAGGAGTGGTGGGAGGAGGTAGAGGCAGCCGTGGATATGATGACACCTGTGTACGATCTGCTGCGTCAGATGGACAAGAGCGGCACTGCTCCCTATTAGTTGTGGGGTTTCGAAGAGGCGTTGGTTAAGAAGATGAGGACCATTGCATGCATCACGGCGGAGCGGCAGGAAGCCATTACAAAGAAGGTGAGGCAGCGCTGCAAGATGATGCGCCAGCCTGTGCATGCACTGAACTTCCTCCTCAATCCGGCCAAAAGGGACCCTCGCTGGATGCACGACCCCAAGAGCCCACTTGTGCAGAATGCAATGAAGTTTTTGCTGTCTCAATGCAGTGAGGGTGCGACATGGGGTTGTAAGGAGCACCTGCGCTTGTGGAACTCCATGAAGATTTTTCACAAAGAGCCAGAGGGCAATTCGAATCGGCCTCTCAAGGACCAGGACAGTTATGGACCGACTTCGCGAAGTTTGACAGCGATCTGGAGAATCATACAGCAACAGATTGGTGGAGCTGCCATGGAAAGAGCCACGACAAGTTGCAGCACATCGCCGTTCGTGTCACGGCGATGTGGAGCACTGCCACGCCTTGCGAACGCAACTGGTCTACATTGGACCTGGTGCATGAGAAGAGAAGGAACCAGCTGTCCAGTGAAACAATAAACAAATTGGTTTATGTTCACGGGAACCTGCAACTGCTGAAGATAAAGAAGAAGAAACAAGCGGGTTTCATCGACATGTGGGCAAACTTCTTCGATGCAGATGCACCGCCGCCTCTCGCAGGTCCAGACATTGTCGCCGACGGTGGGGAGATGTCCGCCGAGGAGGTGGCATGACAACTTCGTTTGAGGAAGACGTCATCTGCGAGGGTTCCTAAGGTGGGGAATGTGGATGAGTCCAGCGACACCGACAACAGCGACGATGGAGAGGATCTGGTTTGGAGGGGGAAAGGAAAGAAAAGGAAGGATATGGAATGTTTGGATGGTGCATGCCATGGAAAAGGGAAAGCGCAGGTGGAAGAAGATGACGATGGCGATTCTCACGAGGAGGATGAAGTAGATGAAATTGTCACGGCGGAGTTTGCGTTGCGCACACCCTCGGAGTCGGATGAGGACTCCGATGATGACCCCAGTGAAGATGATATGGCATTGAGGCAAGATGCAAGTCAGATGGATAGTGACCTTGAGTTCTTGCTGCCTCGTACTTGTGACAGCCCCAATGCCACGCAGACCGAGGACGAGGCTGCGAGAGCTTATGCATAAGCTCTCGCAAAGAGAGATCATGCCATCGTCATGCAGCGCGTTGAGGAGGACGCAGCGAGGCGTGTGGCAATTCCTCGTCGCAACGTGGAAAGAGGAGGAGAGGGAGTCGATGTTGTTCCAGCATTGACTGCAAGCGGGCCATCGACAGCGGTTGGGGAAGCAACGGGCGCGCTCCATGCACCAGCAAGTATGGAAGAAATAGCAACAGCTGTGGCAGCAACAGCAAGTGCAGAGATGACGGGAGATGACTCTGATCAGCAAGCTGAGAACTCGGAGAAGGAGAAGCCCCTGCTAAAAGACCGGAAGTGGCACAAGTTTACAAAAGAAGACAACAATCCGCCGCTTCTGTCCCACCTCCCGTTCTTCCCTCCGAACTGGAGTTTTCGCCTTTGGTTGCGAGTGTGCAGCACAATAACTTGGAAACGAGCACTGTGGGAAGGAAGAGGAAGGTGGTGGAACCAACCGAAGCAGCATCAAAACCAAAGAGGGGGCGGGGTAGGCCTCGTAAGGAATGACCTGCAACGGCCACCCCATCGGCTGATCCGCGTACCCGGCGGGAACAAAGAAAAACGCGGGTGAAGAAGAAGAGACAAGTCATTGATGACGACCCGACGTCGGATGGGGGCAGCAGCAGCGACGGTGGTCGTGAATCAGATTACGATTGGGCCTAGATCAGCCAAAATGGTAGAGAGAGAGAGAGAGAGAGAGAGAGAGAGAGAGAGAGAGAGAGAGAGCAACTGTTAGGTGTGTTTTCTTTGACAGTTGTTTCACAAACTTTGAAAAGAGTCTGCATGACCCTACATATGTGTGCAGTGTGCTGTTGTTCGATGTGTGTGATGTCTGTTGTCAGACATACTGTTTAAATGCGTGTGCTATGTGTGCTGTGTGTGTTGTGCGGAGTGTGCTGAGTGTGTTGAATGTGCAGTGTGTTGTGTGTGCTGTGTGTGCTGTGCGCAGTGTGCTGAGTGTGCAGTGTGTTGTGTGTGCAGTGTGCTGTGTGTGCTGTGTGCAGTGTGTGTTGTGTGCACTGTGCTGTGTATGCAGTGTGTTGTGCATGCAGTGTGTTGTGTGTGCTCAGTGTGCTGTGTGCGCAGAAGCAGCAGAGCCGAATTAACCCCCCCCCCCCCCCCCCCCCCCCCCCCCCATCAGAAACCAATAAGAGCGAAAAATATGAAACACCCCGGATTTGGACCCCTCTAGGAGGGCGCAGAGCAGTCCCCAAGTCAAAAAAATAAAAATCAAAAAATTTACTGTGTCTTTTCTCACCCCTGGTTCACCCGGGCATCGGACCTGCCCGGGCGTCACGCCCGGGTGCCCGGCCGGGCATGGCAAGCTGGGCGTGGAAATCTTCCTAGATTATTATAATTATTTTGTGTCGTTATTCTGATTGTCATCATTAGGCATCATACAAGGTCAGAGATGAAGAGAAAGCATGGGGTATTGGAGAGGGAGGTGACAGTATCCTTTTGCTATAAGTACCCACCTCGTTCATCCTTCTCCGTACTTATCTTTGTTTGGTCCTCTCAGATGCCTACCTCCTCGGTTTAAGTTTGATGACGTGATTCTCATTGAGTTAATCATGGCTTCAGCTAAATCTAAGGGCCAACAATCAATTGCACGGATCATACATGATCAGTGACAGGGCGATTGCGGGAGCTCTGCCGGAGTTCAGGCGGAACTCTGGAGGCAGGGAACAGTGAGGTACGTGCACTTCAACATAAACCCTAATCCCTAAACCCTAAATCTATAACCTTTAGGCAGGTACCTATGACTGTGTTAGTAAAGAGGGTACGTTGAGTCAAGGATCCTTCAGGGCTAAACTCGAGGACAGAAAGGCAAATAATAATATTTGAGTAAGGGAAGGAAAGTATGATCTGGCAGGGTGTGTCTAACTGATGTTGGTAAACGTAGCGAGAACGAGAAGTGTCGAGTCACTGTCTGGCTACGTGAATGTTTCTTTTGAGATGTGATGGACAGGGGGGGGGATAGACTGCTGACAGTCTTCTCTCCCTTATAGGTCACCTGACTGTGAGATACAGAGGTGGGGATCATGAGTGTGTTGTCGAACTTGTGAGTGATATGACCATTTTGAAATGATAGATTGCCTCAACCAACCTTTATCCTATGACTAACCTATACCTACGTACTCCTAAAAGTCCAAACTAACTCAGCCAGGGATCAAGCGGACGAATTTAAGACATGAGGTGCAAATCCCGTGTGACCCACCTACATGGTCTTAAAGGTTTCCGGATGATCCAGGATTTGGATTGGTCGTCAAGCATAACAATAATATATACTAGGCGATAAGAGGAACGAGGCTCTAAGAAGCCTGCCTTATCGCCATAATAACAATATATACACTAGGTGATAAGAGTGAGCGAGGCTCCGAGAAGCCTGCCTTATCACCGTAATAATATATACTAGGCGATAAGAGGAGCGAGACTCTAAGAAGTCTG